CTTCAGGTCTTCTTGCCTGCACGCAGGGAAACTTCAGGCAAATTGGACGGGTGTGCCATGCATTCCCAACCATCGTATCAGAAAACCAGAGCCAAATTTAATTCGGCTACACAAACGGCAAGATAATAATTATGATTTCCGGGAAAGTGCAGACAATATGTTGAATGTTGAAAATGCGGCGTGTTGTTCCTCTCTTCTGCTTGAAGTTGAAAAAGGCACAACGGCCACATCCTGCCGCTGACGCCATATGCGAAGTTGTACCGATTCTGGTAAAAGTCAATCGACGGATACCCTGCGAATCGGGTCCTCCTTAACACTCTCCACCCACAGAATTTACCCTCAACTGGGAACCTCTTGTGGCCAGGACGGGTATTTCGATGGAAGTGTCACAAGGTTCTTTATAGGATCGATTCCAAGAGGTGTTCTCAGGACTGACACACATGGTGTCCATGGGAAAATGTTCAAGTCAGGAGAAAAAACGTGCACCCAAGGAGATTCGAACCAGTATCCTGCCGCTGACGCCATATACGAAGGTGTACCGATTCTGGCAAAAGTCAATCGACGGATACCCTGCGAATCGGGTCCTCCTTAACAGTCCACAGAAAATGCCAAGGTGTGGCGAAAAGTGAGCATGACGCAGTTGTAGAAGGGGTATCCCTCCCCCAGCTGTGTCAACCACACATCATCATGCGCGCACGCATAACATACTTGAATCGTCATCACAGCAGGTGCTGCACATCTTGTCGCGCTCAAATCCACCCAGCCTCTCTCGACTGCTGGAAATTGCTGCAAGTTCCTGCTGGGGCACGGAACAGCTGCAACCCTCTATCTACAAATTCTTAAACCAGGGGGGGGGGGGTCGCGACACCTGCGGACATATATCTCGTTCCGGCCTCACTTCTTTGTGCCCTGGGCAACTTTTTTCGATGTTGTACAACTGTGCACACGTACTTTATCACACGTACTTTATTTCCGATGCAGAACGCCCCTGAGGACATGCTCTACCCATACCGCACGAACGCAAGACTGTATGCTACATACAACAATAACGTATTTCGTGTTTTCGACGGCAAAAAAGCGACGCCTTGCATGCAGCCGGTCAAAGCCTTCTCCTCAGGATGCACTGCATTGTTGCCCCACCAACGTAATGACGAACCAAATGCCCACCCCAACACACGAGGCTCCTGGAGTACGATGCGTCACTTCCACATGATGACCAACGATGCATTCATGCCATGCAACCTGCGTGTTGTTCACCATGAATGAACAAACGACAAGAAGATCGGGTTTGCCCTCCCCCCCTC